TATTTTCAGTATTTTCGAAAACTAAGGGCCTGTTCTCTTTGTCGTTTTCGGACCGTTTTCTGTTTTCGATTTTTCAAAACGATGAAAACGCGTTCTCTTTCATATTTTTGAAAATGCATTTTTGAAAACAAAAAAATTTTTATACACAAAACACCAAAATGAGGAAAAAGTCATTTTGGCGTTTTCAATACAAAACTCTTGAAAATTAGAAAACACGGGAAACGCCTATTTCGGAACAATAACACCTCCGATCCCAATTCCTTCCACAGTTCGATGTCTTCCCCCTTCTTCCAATCAATCCTTCGTTCTCTCTTTCAATTGAGTGAATTCATGATTTCTAATTGTTGGCTTTGTTTGTATCTCTGATTTGCTTTTAAATCTCAGATGCTGCACTTCTGTTGACGGTGTTTAGAGAAAAGGAAAGGGAGCACTAAAAGAAGAAATTTTGAGTTTTTGGGTGGTCATAACTGATGATGGACTCTTTGCATTGGATGATTCATTCGGTTTTTTTTGGTGCTTTTGGTGATCTTTGCAGAACCATATGTTACGGGATTCACTGACCCTCGTGATGGTAAAGCATGAAAAACCCTTGATTACACTTCTTATCTCATACACTAACTGTGTGCGCGTGTTCTTTTCTTATTCTTAAGGATAGGAATATATTACTGTAAAATGTAAATGAAGATTATGTGGTAAAAGTTCATATTTATCATATTAATCCTTTTTTCTTTTCTGTATTTTCTGTTAGTTTATGCAATAAATAGTTTATATGCTTTTCTGGGCATCCCTCCCCTTCCTAATTGGATTCCCTTTGGGGGAGACCCGTGCGGACTGAATTGGCAAGGAGTACTGTGTGTCAATTCCAACATAACTTCTATGTACGATTCCTTCTTGCTATTTCATTGCAGGCTGTGATTATTTTCTTGCCTTTTGGATTTAATTTATGTGCTCTGTTATTGATAGCATTCTAAATGGACCAAATTTGGGGGGTGAACTGAGTGAAGACTTAGGATCTTTTGCCTCGATTATACAAATGTAAGTTCATCATGTTCAATTACTAGCCTGAATAATGTTTTGCACTAATTGGCAATTATCTTATAATTGGAGCCTTATGAAAGATTTTTATCTTCGTCAAAGCAGATGGTTAGATTAATCTTATTGTTAAGCTAACATCGAACGAACATCTCATTTGTCACTTTTTTGAATTGTTGTCCAATCGAACATATAAAATTGTTGGGTGGAGTTCCATCCTAGAGATTGAACAATTAAGAAGAGAAGTTCAATTCCCTCATAAAACTATTATCTAATCATGTCTAGTTGACATGGGACTTTGTTCACACTTCCCTAAAGAGATTAGAATAATGGCTTAGAACCACATTAAATCTTGAAGCTCTAGGTTAAAGATCAGGCTTTTAATTTGTTTAATGATGTGATTTGAAATAAATTTAGTTATGATTGTGCAACTGTAAATGTGATGATGGGTGCATGTTTAAGGGAGGGTAAAGTGGAGGAGGCTGTTTATAGCACTGCCGTTCGAGCTGCTTGTATGAAACTGGATGCAAACTTGATGCAAATGCTGATTTAGGATCACCATTTATGAACACTTTATTGAGATTCAAGCACCCTCTCTTTACAAAGCTGTTTTTTATTGCGAATTTTATCCCAAAAAATTTATTTGAAAATATGGGAGTTCTAATAAACTATGAGTAGTGCAACCATTTTCAATAATATCAAAGTTGCGCATTATACTTGTATCTTCCGTTTGTTTATGATAATTAAAAATGCTTAGTGTCATCACTGTAGGTGCCTTAACTTGTAGGAGTTTCATTGCAGGCTCATAGTGTCAATCCCAGTTGATGCTAGGACATACTAACTTGTAAAGACCAAAAGGCGAGACCAAGAAAAGGTCAAGTCCATGCCGAGCAAAACATGACCAAAAAGCAAGATTGGGATAACTTCCTTTAATCGTTGTATGGTGACCTGGAAAACGATTACATTGACATTATGTATTGTACAAGTAAAAAAGACATTCTTTTGATTTTATTCGTATGTCCGGTATGCGAGGTGATTTGGGTTCGATTTTGCACATGTGGGATTGTTGATTGAAAGCATTTAACTGACATAAGGCATGGAATCCTATTTATTATTTGAAATGGTATTTATATTGGAAATGTTTAGCCTGAAAAATGTTCCACCATTTGCCTCAATCAGGAAGGATTAGGCATGTGGCTAGTTGAATTGATCCGATCAACTTCCGAAGCACCATTTGATTTATAATGGAGAAAATTTCTTGTGTACAAGTTTTATAGCATTCAAAATTGCATTCGGACACTCAAATAAGGTTTATANGAAAACCGTGAAATGAAATCGAACTCGTGACTTTCAGAAAATCCGTGACTCTCCCCAACTAAGTGATCCCGCTATTGACAAAATTCGGACGTTTTTCGCATTTTGAAATTTTGGTTTAGTTTTAACTGAAAACAGTAAAAAAAAACTTTTTTGACATTTTTTCATTTTCTTTGTAAATTTTAAACTCGTTTATGAAAATATGTAAGTAAATATATTTTCAGTATTTTCGAAAACTAAATAACCCAAAAAACATGTCCTAAAATATAATAAGATAAGAAAAGAAAAAAGAATCTTGTGCAATATCACGACACGCACTGCCCATCTTACCACGACAACCCGTCCTCTAATTGGTTTGTGACCAACACGCTCACAGAGAACGCGTTCTATGCCCGCCGACTCACTGGCCTCCTTAAAATCCTACCCATTTTCACTCTTTCCACCGGAAACGAACGTATTCCCTCCCTTTTCCTTCCCCCAAAATTTCTCAAGGTTTTTATTACCTTTCTCTCTCTAGGGTTTCTCTTCTCTCACTATCATGAGTAACCCCGCCAAAGACAACTTCAACGTGTCCGACCTCGATTCCTCCCTCCCAGCCGCCGCCGCTGGTACGAAAATCTGAACCCTAATTGTGTGTGTGTATGTTCCCATTTTATGATTGCGATTAATAGTTGTTATTGTTGTGTTTTTGACGTAGCATTGAGTGCGGAGGATCGTGCTGGTTTAGTGAATGCTCTCAAGGTCTGTGAATTTTAAATTTTACACAGATTGAAGATTTAAGCATTTTGTTTGTGTTCACGGTCTTTTCTTGATGTATTTCGTCAGTATTTTGTTTTTATTTTGTTATGTCTTGGTTTGATTAACAGGATAAATTACAAAATTTGGCTGGGCAGCACACGGATGTTCTTGAGAGACTGTCTCCGATAGTCCGGAAGCGTGTTGAGGTTCTGAGGGAGATCCAGGTTCTTATTTATTGTTAAATTTCAATTTTCTCGAGTATATGTGCGTGCTGTGTTATTTTGTGCTGTTCATTTCTCTTTATCGTACTGGAATATTTATGCACCACGTTTCTTGAAATTATTTTACCTGTCACTAGCAACATCCACAGTTTTATAATTTTTGTGGGAACTGCACGATGTCTTCTTCTAGTAGCAAGCGGAACGAAGCAAAAATCGCACCCAAAGAAGCCTCCTTGAGGCATAGAGGCCATGCCTCAACGAGGCGTGATCAGTACTGCCTTTTCAGACCATGCATGAAAGGTCCTATCACAGGAAATAAGAATGGCTGCACAATATGTAGTGGTGATAGATTGTGGCTTTGTGCACATGGGTTTATGAGTTCTAATTCAAGGTTTTTGTCATCTAGGAGAAACCATGGCTAGTTATTCTCTGCTTGATTTCATTTCCCAGCTATGCTTGGATTTTGACAGTAATAGAAATTGATATACAGGTTGACCTTATTTGTGGATAAATGATGCTGCTCAAATAGATTTGTGAAATCATGCGTCGTCTTTTGTCTTCTTTAGCAGCTCTTTTAAAATAAATTTAAGTTTTGTGACTTGGACACCCTAAGATATACTTACCAATATTTCGTCATAATTCATTGACAAGTGGATCTTTGTCCAATTAGAGTTGTATATTAATATTGCTCTGAGAGTCCTAGTTTGAGATGGTTTCTCCAAGTGTCATGCACAGAATTCACTGGGTATGTAAGAAATGTGGTTTGTTAGATGACACATCTTTATTTTGCAGAGTCAACATGATGAGCTAGAGGCAAAGTTTTTTGAGGAAAGAGCAGCACTGGAAGCTAAATATCAGAAACTTTATGAGCCTCAATACACAAAAGTAAGGGCATTTGTGTGAATGGACTGCTGCTTGTGGTTTCTTTCTAAATCATTGTAGAAAATGTATTGTGATGCATACGATTTGATAGTTTGTGTTTTCTGAATCTATTAACATCTTTTTGGTGAACAAAGTGCAGCGTTATGAAATTGTTAACGGTGTTGTTGAAGTTGAAGGAGTTACTGAAACCCCCATGGAGCAGGGTGAGGACAAATTAAAAGAAGGTAGATGGTTTTCCTTTACTTTGTTATACAGTAGCATATTTATTTGTAGATTGGTTGATGTCTTTCTTGTCTTAAATTCCTTTATCCTTTTTCTTGCTCTTACCATCTTCTGGAGTCCAAACTGACGGTAATTCACAACTTCATTCAGCTAAAGGTGTGCCTGACTTCTGGCTTATGGCAATGAAGACTAATGAAATATTGGCAGAAGAGGTACATAATTTTGGATGTTTCTAGTTTCTGTCTGCCCTACATTATAATGATGACAATTTTTTTTCTTGTTTAGATCTCGGAGCGCGATGAAGAGGCACTTAAATATCTCAAGGATATCAAGTGGTGTAGGATTGATAATCCCAAGGGTTTTAAGCTTGACTTCTTCTTTGATTCCTATCCTTTTTTCAAGAATTCTGTATTGACGAAGACATACCACATGATTGATGTCAATGAGACTATATTAGAGAAGGCAATAGGGTAATTCAATTTTACTTGCCACGATCTTTTTTTCTCTCTCTCTCTCTCTCTTTTTTTAACATCAAATTGGAAATGTTGTAGGACGGAGATTGAATGGCATCCAGGTAAATGCTTGACACACAAGGTTTTAAAGAAAAAGCCAAAGAAGGGGTCGAAGAATGTGAAACCTACAACAAAGACTGAAAAATGTGATAGTTTTTTCAACTTCTTTAAGCCTCCAGTGGTTCCTGAGAATGATGATGACATTGATGAGGATATGGTGAGTGTACTCGCACTATATTTGATCTTACCTTCTTGAAGCTATAAGTGTTTGTAGATCCTGATATATTCATTATTTCTGCTAAAATTGGCCAACAGGCTGAAGAACTCCAGAATTTAATGGAACAAGACTATGACATTGGGTGAGTCGCCTCTTATTCCCTTTACAAAGATGTGCCTTTATAACTGGATGTAATTCATTCTATTCCCTGCTTTGTATTTCTCTAGTGTTGCATTCATAGAAACAGAGTTAGATGCCTAAAATCTGACGAGTTTTAATGGCTATTTTTTGTGGTTGGCTGCAGCTCAACAATTCGGGACAAAATTATACCTCATGCTGTTTCATGGTTTACTGGGGAGGCTGTCCAAGGAGATGAACTCGACATTGAAGATGATGATGAGGATGATGATGGCGACGACAATGAGGAAGATGATGACGAGGATGAAGATGATGACGACGACGAGGATGATGATGATGATGATGAAGAGGAGGAAGAGAAGGGGAAGAGTGCAAAGAAGGTGAAGAATTTCTTTTTTCCACTGAACAGAAATCCCAAGTTTTTTTCTTCTTAAAATCAATTTCACAATTTTATGGGGAATGCTGATATTCATTTGTTTTGTGCCATTCCATTGGAAATTTTGCAGTCTCCAGGAAAGAAGGTAAGATGATGCCGGATTTTGTTACTTCTGTATCTGGTTTAAATGTGTCTATTGGAGTGCTTCACAGTGTTCTGTTTCTGTAATCTGTAGAAGGGTGGTAGAGCACGAGCCGGGGAAGGTCAACAGGGTGAACGTCCTCCAGAGTGCAAACAACAGTAAACCAATGCTGAATTCAATCTTTGGATACATGGTCAATGTCAATTTTGCCCGTGAATATATCTCTGAACTCGAAAGTGTGTGAAGTTCTTTCCCCCTCTCCCTCTTTTCCTCCATCTTCTCTTACGTGGGAAGGCTTCATTTCCATGGTTGTCATCTTGGATCTGTGTTTCTAAGAGAACCTTTAAGCCTTAATTGTTTGGGTTTTCATTTGGATTTGTGGGATACGAATATTATCATTGTGTACAGTGGTTGAGTTTGTGTTCATTAATATCTTTGGTGAGTCACTACTTTTTCAGGTTTACAAGTTTGTTCCTGATGGATAACTGAGAGAGTGAGAGATGATTGTCTATCACTGGCACAGCGAATAGCGAGTGTCTAGGTTCGACCAGATATACCTGCACTCCAAATAGAATTGAGTAATGCTATCTACCGGTTAGGTGGCAATGAGCCTCCTGCTTTAGTGTCCAATACATTAATGTACATCATAACTCCACTATACAACGAACCAGGGCATTCATTGCCACTTTACCGGCAATGTATCTCTACTGATAAGGAAAGCAACTTTGGTACAAGTCTTTTAAAACGTTTCTCGTATATGAACTTTCTTACATGAGGGTACTTGTCGTTTCTTAATATACAGCAATGGAAGTCCTCGGCAGAATCGAGCGACGACTGTCCAGTGAAAATGGGAACGTTTCTGGATGAGTCTAGTGATATTGCAGAAAGATGCCCAATACTTACCTTCCTTGTGACTAAATGAAAACCACAATAAAGTTTGGTTATAAAAAACGAATGGGAATACATGAGTGCTTCATTCGAAAGACAACGACGTTAAAGTTGTCATTTCTTTTATTCCTTTGTTATGATTGCGTCGTTTTTGTACGCAAGCTAACCGAAATATTTTCCCCTCTCTAGTTGAATTTGTTGTTGGCAGCTAAACTCCTCTCTGGTTCAATGTATTGAAAGCATTACTGGTAATTCACTTAACAATTCATTATCTGAAAGAGGAAATTCTTAAAATATCGATAACGTCACCGACAAGCAATTAGAAATATAATATACGTCAGTACTCGGTATGCTCCATTTTGAACATGATTTTTTGATAATGGAAAATGGTGGTCCAACTCCCCATTCCAATTTAACTCTACCTAACACTGGCAGGTGGGTCACACCACAATTAATATGTATTGGGTTATTAACTTATTGATAATTCACCTAAGTTTTAATTAGAGTTGGGTAGCGTATACGGATTTAATTAGGTAGGATTTGAACGGATTGCATTTGTGTTGATAAATCACCAAATCTTTGATCAGGATAGGTATTTTTCAATAAACGTGGGACCTCTTTTTTTTTTTTTTAAATTAAAAGAGAAATATGTTACTAGTTGATCCGTCTAGTACGCCAATCTTAAAAATTCAAAGAATATGTTACTACTCATTTCTCGAAGAGAATTTGGTAACTCTATTCACAAACAAGGAATTTGCTCGGGATGGCTTTTCTAAAGTTTAAAAAGCATTTCTTTGATGGAGAAGGTACTTTTTACTAACATAATGATTATTTGGTTAAAGTCGTTTAAATGCATTTCTATGTAAAAAATATATTTAGATTATACGAGAAAGTTGAAATTTGTTCGTTCGATAAAATTTTCCTTATTAATAGCGAAATCTAAATATGACTAAACAAATATATGCCAATGGTTGATGTGTTAAAATTTAAATAGAAACTACATAATTTCAAAAAAAAATTTGTTTTAAATCATATGATATATATTAAAATAATTATTTAATAGATTTTATAGGCTATGAAATTTTATTATTTATGAATGAAAATGAGATGAATCATTAAAATATTAATTTTGGTCAACTAAATATGTAATATATCACAAAAGCAATTTTATAGTTATTTTTCAAACCATCAATTTCATATTCACAACACGTTTTGAATCGACAACCAAACCATCAACAACTTATCGGTAAAAACTGTCATTGAAAATACTTCAAGTTCGAACACTCAACTTGCAACCATCGTACCAAACGGATTCTTACTCAAAATTTCCTTACTTTTAGCAGAAAATTTAAGTAGAATTGACGTATTTAATCTATTATGAATATGAAAAATTTTTATGTCGGCTATCAACTTACTAATCGTTTCCTTAGAGCATATTTAAAGATGGTCTTATCGTCAAGAGGTGAGGTACTTCGTTTGTAGAAAAAAAGAATTACAACTTAAAAAGTCAAAGTATACCACCAAACATACTCAAAAGTCCATACTTTGACAGACTATTGAGGGAAAAAAGAAAATAAAACACTGTCAAGGTGAGGGGTCTATCAGAACACTGTCGGTTTACATAAAATTCTTGTCAAAATCACACAGACAAAAGTGTGGACCATAAAAATTGCTACTTTAGATTTGATAGAACCTACCGTGTATGAAAAGAACAAGTGGGATAAGTTAATTTTTTTCATACTTTGACAAAAAAGACACATTTAGTGCTAATGGAATATTATGCAATGATTGCAATTAAGAAAATTCTTCACCTAAGTGTTCGTCATTTTCCATTCAAATAAACCAAACTAATTCAAAGATTATTAAGTTTCAACTGACAGATTCACGAGACAAAATGCAGGAAAAGAATTTATTATATTTACACTTTCTTTTCCAAAGTGACTGGTGAATGAGCGTACTGTTTTGCTTTTTTGCTTTGATCAATTTTGGAATTGATCTTCATAGGGGGATTAAAAAAGGAACAAAAAACATTGATTTATTGCCCCTAACAGAGTCCCATGTTTAGTGTCTCCTCATTACCTCACTAGTACTGTTTGTGGGTCTCTCTTCATATTTTGTTGTTCCTTCACTTCAAGATATGCCCGTGTAGTAATAACACTGCATTTATACAGATAAATTTTGCTTTCTTTCAAGTTTTTGTTTTGGTACAAGGCCCGAGAACGAATTCACCGATTGATCGGTGATTACTAGCGATTCCGGCTTTATACAAACTAGTTTCAGCCTGCAATCTGAGGACGGGTTTTTTGGGTGTTTGAGAGATGGTGTTACAGTTGAGTTTTGTAGCAGTGGAATTTTTTGCCATTCTCTGTGCTTTCACAATTCAAGAATCTGCAGGTAATGGGCTCTGTTTATTTGGTTTAGTTAACTGGAGTTCAGTTTTTATTTTTTGATACGTGTACTTCTGATTTTGTGTACATCAACATGAATGTTGCATTTAGAACGCATCTGCAGAAAACTCCTATTGTTCATGTGATCTTTAAGGAGTAACGAAGAACAACTCTCTAGAAGTTCACAAATTACACTCAGCAGATACGATTGACTTAGGTGGTTAGTACATGTTTTGCATAGGGTTAAGAAGAGGTTACCGTTCATAAGAACGAGGAGGGAAAACTAAAACTAACATGGCCTAAAGATCTCATTGTTTTGGATCTTCCTGTAGATCTAAAGATGAATCAAACGAAGTGGCAAGAAAGGATTTACGTAGTGGACTCTAAATTCATTGGGAACAAGTTGTAGCTTGTTATAAAGTATTAGTATTAGAATTGGGTTTAGTGGTGTTCTGCTCTTGGGCTATATGTACTGTTCACCAATCCAAAATCGTTGGCGTTGAATATAGATGTTTGATGAAGTTTTCCTGTTTGATCATACTTCAGTAATTAATTGGAAGATGGAAGTGTGTAAAATGAAATTACATATAATTTCTCCTCTACATTCTGCATATCTAGTTTAAAAATAATTTAAATTGCAGGTATTGGTCTGCATTCACTTTCAGTAGCTTCTGTGCTTTTTCGCTTCAAGGACAAAACACCTGACTTTAGGCTTCATGAAGCCACGTCGCGTTTAACATTACTGCAAAATGGTAGCTTTTTCTACTCTTCCTCGTTAAGTTGTTTTGAATGTTCAAATATGTTGACTGTATGGTTTTTCACAAAATAAAGTCGTGTTGGCTGTACTAGATATTGCTATACCACCAACTCCCACCAGTTCTCGACAAAAAAGACATGGAATGTTTGCTTCGGCTCCCCACCTCAAAGCATTTCACAATCGGTTGCATGTATACCATCCATTAACCGAAGGTTATGTTAACCTCAGCGATGTATTTTTCTTTCTATATAAGTTAGAGGTTAATAATGAAATGTGTTGCCCGCTTCTGTTAACAGTTCAAATGTTTCATTTATAGGCACCAATCCTCACAGCTTAAATGTCTCCAGCAATGCTCATGCACCCTCTATATTATCTGGCAGCCACCCGGGCAAGAAAGCGATACACGAATCTGCATTTTCACCATCAGGCGCATTCCATAAGAATCATCGTACTGGAAGAAATGTTCACCACTTTGCTCCTGGACCATATAATCATTCACCTCGTTATAGTGGGAAAGGTCAGTCCATGCCTTTTCCTACACTAAATAGTGGAATCGGGGTGGGGGTTGTTTCTTGCTAGATTAGTTAGAGAGGTGCGACTGTGCGAGGAATACAACCTTGTAATCTCCTTCTTCTTAATGGTGAAAAATCTACAGCGGTGATTAGACGTAGCTCTCACATTGAGTACGAACCGCTATAAATCTTTGTTTATCCGTGTTTCGTTTCGTTCATTATTTTTCTCCTGATGGGGATTAGAGTTTAATCCATAACTGGGTTCACATTATCAACATTTTTCTTCCATTTTGTAACTTGAAGTTGCTTGACATTTCTTTGAACAGGCCATGCTTTAACCCATTCTCCATCTCTTTTCCCTCCATCTGAGGAATGGATTTCACCAAGACCTATGCCCTTGTCAGCACTTCCACCAAATCATTTTAATAGTATGGAAAGATTCATTTCTATGCTACAATTATATTGGATATATTGGATTTCGTCTAATTCTAATTAACTCAGATTTTCTCTTTTCTGTCTGCAAGTGCCCTCGCATCAGCCTACTATTTCTCCAATGAGTTTTCCTACGAAAAATATGAAGAAAACTCCACTGCCACTAGCACTTCCGCCTCCTCCGCCAAATCAAGGTATTGTACCAGTAGCTTATACCTCTCTAAGAGCATGTTTAGTTAAACTTAAAAGTTACTTTTGCAGAAAGTAAGTTAGACTGACTTTCTATAAAAGTAAGTTTTGTTAGCCAAAATAGTCTTTTAAACTTATGTTTGACAAAAGAGAATCTTCTAAGTAACTTTTGCTTCGTTTTAAGTTTAGCCAAACATGCTCTAGTTCTACCAATTACATCATACTTTAGCTCCAAGCAAATGTCATGGACCGCAGTGATCAACATTTCAATCTTGCAGAATGTAGACCAATAACCTGCACAGAGCCACTGACATATGCACCTCCAGGAGCACCCTGTGGTTGTGTTTGGCCTATTGAAGTTAGATTGCGCTTCAGTATTTCTCTGTATACGTTTTTTACATTAGTTCCCAATCTTGCTAAGGAAATCGCAAACAGTATCTTACTAGACCAAAGTCAAGTTCGCATTATGGGAGCTGATGCAGCCAACCATCAACTAGAGAAGACCACCGTCCTCATTAACTTGGTACCTCTGGACACGAAGTTCAACCCTTCTACTGCATTTCAAATATACACAAAGTTCTGGAAGAGGGAAGTTTCAATACGGTCTTCAGTTTTTGGTGTCTACGAGGTGGTATACGTTCGCTACCCAGGTTAAGTGATCATCAAATATGTTTATTGAAGAAAACATTAACAGCTCTAATATTTACGCTACATGGTGTTTTAGTCTTATTGCCTATTTACAAATCAGAATCTTCCCCATAAAAAAGCAAGTAGGATTTATTGGAGACCTTCAATTCCAGTCTAGCTTGAGTATAATATTTCAAACTGCCCTAGCTCTTTTAGTATCTTACAAATTTAGTGAACCTATTGTTCGAGAAATATCTCCAGTGGCAAATATCACCTGATTTTCCAAGGACATAACAACTAGAAATAGATTCTTTAACCAGAAAAAAATTTGTTCAGATATAGGATATCTCATACTTACCAAAAGGCTGATGACAAAAATTGGAGTAAGTCTTAATTGTGGATATTGGTCGCTAACACGTGCAAATGCTTATGCTTAGTTTTGATTTTGCGGTATATTCTATCATGCACAGTTTAGAGACATATAGCTTTTCATCTGTTTCCTTGTGATCACAGAAACATATGGTGTTATCCCTAGAATTCTAACCTTCTTATCTTATCTTCTCGTCCTTCAAGATTATGTACCATCTTTTTTGGGCTGGGTTTAATTCCTTATTGTTACATTTATAATTTTATATAACTGTATGCTTCTTGAGCTTTACGTATAATAATTCAGGTCTTCCACCATCTCCTCCTTCGAAGATTTCCAGCTCTGCTACAATTGATGGTCAACCAAATTCTGGCAGCACCGATGATGGAGGTCCAATAAAACCTTTGGGGGTAGATGTAACAAGGACAAGAAAGGATGGGACTGGCAAAACTATGGTCATTGTAATTGTTCTATCAGCAGTCACAGCTTTTGTAGTTTGCATGGGTTGTATTTGGCTATTGTTGTTAAAATGTGGATGTTTCAGTTGTCTAAGCAAAAAAAGTCCACAAGGTTTAATATCTTTGGAGGGAAAATCGTCAGGTAAATCATCTTATAACTTTCTAACTTTTTATCCCTTGCGCACCTGATATATGTATCGAAGTAAACCAAAATTAACACGGCGTGTTTTAGTTGTTAAGAATCTAGTTGCTTTAGATCTCTCAATAGCTATAGCAATGAATAGAGTGGATTGAAGCAGAAGGATTAATATGACTGACCCCAAATTTACTTGGGTCTTGGAATAAGGCCGACTTTTTTGTTGTACACCAGATATGATCCTGACCTTTTTCAAAATCATTTCTCAAATCATTGATATTGTATTGATACAACTGAGGAATTTGATCTGCAGGCATAGGAAAATCTTCAACATTTAGAAGCAAGCGTAGCTCCGGGTCAATGTCATTTAGTTCTAGCTTTCTGGCGTATACTGCAACTGCTAAAGTTTTCAGTATTGATGAGATAGAGAGAGTGACCGATAACTTTAATGCTTCAAGAATCCTCGGGGAAGGTGGTTTTGGACTTGTATATGGTGGCACTCTTGATGATGGAAGAAAGGTGGCGGTGAAGGTTCTCAAGAGAGACGATCACCAGGGCAGCCGTGAATTTTTAGCTGAAGTCGAGATGCTTAGTCGGTTGCATCACAGAAACTTGGTCAAATTATTAGGTATCTGTGCGGAGGACCATTGCAGATCTCTCATCTACGAGCTTGTTCCTAATGGAAGTGTTGAATCCCATTTGCACGGTCGGTACAAATTAGTTTGATTCTTGCATAGTAATTAATATACTTCTAGCATGTTTGGTAGGCAGTACTGGGATGGGATTGGACATTACCATGAACAAGATTTTAGATTATTCCTCTTATTTAATGTTATCTAGTCCTGTATACCAAACATGCACTTATAGTTTGTGTGCCAATCCATAAATTCGTAGTTTTACTTGGGTCATTTTGGTCCTTCTGCTTTTCTTTGGTGCTAACAGGAGTTGATAAGGAGGTTTCTCCTCTCGATTGGCATGCTCGGGTGAGGATTGCCCTGGGTGCAGCCCGGGGTTTGGCCTATTTGCACGAGGACTCGAGCCCTCGTGTAATACACAGAGACTTCAAGTCGAGTAACATATTGTTAGAACACGACTTTACACCTAAAGTTTCAGATTTTGGGTTGGCTAGGACGGCAATGGAAGAGGGAAACAAACATATCTCAACCCATGTCATGGGAACCTTCGGGTATGCCCTTCACACTATGATAAAATGAATTTGCGCCATCTTATTCTGAATGCTAGAAAAAGGTTTCTCCATTTATTCTGATTCTTGGTCGAAAATTTACTTCTTACAGTTACTTAGCTCCTGAATACGCGATGACTGGCCATCTACTGGTTAAAAGCGATGTATACAGCTATGGTGTGGTTCTCCTCGAGCTCCTAACTGGACGAAAGCCCGTGGATTTGTCACAGCCACCTGGCCAAGAAAATCTTGTTGCTTGGGCTCGTCCACTCCTCGGTTCCAAAGAAGGTTTGGAAATGATCATCGATCAAGCTTTAAAATCGAATGTTCCCTCGGACAGCATTGCCAAATTTGCTGCAATCGCATCAATGTGTGTGCAACCAGAAGTATCTCATCGTCCTTTTATGGGCGAAGTTGTTCAAGCATTGAAGCTCGTGTGCAGTGAGTTTGATGAAACACGAGAGCCCGTGTCAAGAAGTTGCAGCCAAGAGGATTTCTCTATTGATATAGAAAGTAAGCAAAGTAGAATATCAAATGAACTGGCAGAAGATTTAGAGACTAGTTATCGATTCCCTGGAGGGGATTCAATTTTTGATACAAAGATAGCATTATCAGCAGTAGATTTAAAAGTTGTATCAGGCAGACGTGAAGGACATGAATCCGATTCTTTGAGAAAATTTAATTCAGTTCCTTTGAAGATGGGTCGAAAAATGCGCTTCTGGCAACGGTTAAGAGGACTGTCGCGAGGCAGCATGAGCGAGCACGAGTTCTCTTCAATACAGTAATTTCAATACTCGAAGTCTTATTGTCCATTCGAAATGTAATTCTCTTATGAATATGTATGCTAGAGCTATAAATTTTTTGCCATATGTGTAGTTAAAGATGCAGCTCTGATCTCCTAAGTAGCAACATAATCTTCTTGTAACTATAATTGGGTCAAGACATCATGGTACAGGTGTTTAAATTATGTTACTGTCAGTTCCATCTCATACTTAGTGTTTGTGTTAATGTTAATAGAGTGAATACTCTCGTCAAGTGCAAATGAAATTTGAGCCAAAAAGACACAGAATGGATGAACGAGGATGAAATTATAGATACGGGCATATTTGGTACACAATATTAGATAGTTTCTCTACTGTTTTCTTGTCACACCATGAAATTGGTGAAATGTTTTGATCTCAAAATCTTCACAACACCTATACCATCCACAAATCGTTGTAAATATTATGGATGGCTGAATTAGTTGAAAGTGATTAAAGGGTTATAAATATGTATGTTGAGAAGGCTAAGTTGGCCTTTTGACAGGGGACTGGCAATCTTTTCTAGAAGACCTCCCATGAATGCTTCATAAGGAAGTTTTTTCTTTCTTTTCCTGTAGGATTGAGTCGCTTCATATGTTCTTTGCTTTGGAGGAATGGTAGACAGCTGCCCTGTCAATTCACACAACAAATATTGTCGTATTAACCAGAATATTTTTCAGAAAACGAGCAAACTACACATATTTATAGTGGTTCACTGATTATACCATTGCATGTTTTCAGAATAATGAAGAAGTTTTCCTATTTCACGTTTGTGAGAAAATAACCCTCCAAGTCGATTTATCTCGACCAACTTGTTTAGCTAGGCAAGTTTCTTCAGACATATACATTAGTATCAGATTGACATCGTGCAATAAATTGGTACAAAACCTTTTGAGGATGATCTCACATTTTAAGCAAAACTGAAAAGAAAAAATACAAAAAATTGCCAATTTTCCATTCAAATAGGAAAACCTTTCATTAAATTACAAAAAGGTTCTCCAATTCCCAAATATATAATCGCATTTTGCTTCTAATCATGCAAAATTGAAGGCAAACCAAAAAATAAATAACAAAAGATGCCACAGATAAATGCCTCTTCTATTGCCCACATTCAAGAAATACAACCATCTAAACAGAGGATAAATATATATAAAAAAAGATATAAAAATATATATTTCAGTGGGTCAATTTTCGTGAACCACCATGGCCCCAATATACACGAATGTGACTATTGTCTGATCCTCGCAGCTTGAAGTTGAATCCCAATCAACAGCCGCACCAGAGTCTTCAGAAATGACCATAAAATTGGTATTGAACAGAAAGAAGATGCACTGTCAAGAAAGGTTTACAGATGCCTGAGGATTGGAGTGTTTGGATCCATTTACAGAAGTAACCTCTGAAGAAGCACTCGATGAAATACCACTATCATTATTTGTACCGCTCTGTGCTGTAAGGGGAGGGTTATGTTGAGGTTCGGTGCGTGCAGGTCTTTGGCCCTCCTCTGCTAGTTTTCTAAGAAGGTTCATAACAGTAGGAAGTAGTTTGGTGGATATAGATAGAAGTCCAGGAAGCTGTAGGCATACAGAAAAAGAGATCAGAGCTTGAACAGCATAAATAATCTCTCAAAATGTATAAATAGGACTGGCCGTTGGTTCCAATTGATCACTCAAAGGTTTTTTAATGACTTGGATTCCAACTAATAGGAGATATAAAAGAAAGTCATGGATTTTAGTAGTAAACTTACAGCTCCATTGCGGAATTCACCCGCAATATCTAATTGCACCCAAAGTGCTTTAAAAAGCAGAAAAGCAACAAAAATAACGCCCAAATATAAAGGATTTCTGCCAAAAGAGAACACTACATTAGCAAGATTAAAAAAATAGCTTCTGAGGAAAATCTCTGGCTTGAGTTGAGTATCACCAGGTATGACTAACCAACCCTCCCCTCCCCTCCCAAAAAATGAATTACCTCAAAAGTGTCACAAATTCATTGAAACCCAAGACAACCAATGCAACGATTGCCCATGGAGGAGGTAACCAATTGTTATTTCGCCGGCTAGCCTCCTGAAAGTTGAGAAACAAGAAAAATCAGAAATGATTAATTAGCAATTAATATATCGATAATAAAATGTCAAAAAGCATTAGAAAGATACGTAAGTATGAATACAAATGGAAAAAAAAGTTGACGAAATAAACTAAGATATTCAGAAGCATTATATGTGCAAGTCCATGCCTGAGCAGCAATGGCTTGAGTAACAGTGTACTCGGTCTCTGTTTTAAATTGCCTCCACAAAGATTTACACTGGACTGGCGTTATCAAGGTTTTTGATACTGGAACCTGACCACGAAGAAAATTCAGAAAAAAATTATTAGGTGCATTTTGGATAAATTACGAAAGGAACGAGTGTAAAAGGCCAAAAACAACTAGTGTGCATGTACATAATACAAAGTTTCAAGTACTAGATAGAGAGAAATGAAGAGTTAAAGCATAAAAACGCAGACATGCACCGAAAATAATCAGGTCAATTGTACAAGTAAATAGTTTGACAGAAATGAAGCGGTTTATATATTCTTCCAAGGAAATTTATTTAGTCTAGTGGATGAGACATCAAATTCATCACTAAACATCAGCTTTTTAATGAACTAAAGCTGAACTGTGGTCAATGACTTCAAAGAGGAACCGATTCAGCAACTACAACGATTACCTCCTCCCAAGTGCTGGAGGCAAGAGGGTCCACTGAAGTTCCCTTATTTGTTGAAGCAGCAGCTTTGGGGTCAATAAGAGCCAGAGACAATGTATTCTCAATAGTGTCAGCATCGTTGTCCAGACGAATTGCAGACACGACAGACAGCAGCTTCAATGACTAGAGACAAAAATTAAAATCAAAAGAATTACAGAGATACCCATACCAAATATCCCAGAAAATATATTTATAGAGCATGTCATACAGAAGAGCGAGCGGTTTTGGTGATTGCTCTTATATCTTCCTTTCCAGTCCAGACCCTTGGCATTGAGTCAGAATCGTGGCTAAATAATGTTGAAAACCTGTGAATAATTGCCTGGTTATTCCCATGTGTACATAGCAGAAGAAACAGAACATCAATCTTGCAAATATTGAATTCATAATGCGAATATATAACGCATAGCAAGCACCTGTCCTTCATACAAATCAAAACCCTCCCAGCCTCTTCTTTTGCTTTTGCTTCAACCAATTCTCTTGCGTGATCCTGCAGTCTCAAAATCATTTTTTCCCTTGACTCTTCACACATTTCGAAACCATAAAGTGCACTAACAAACTCAGCAATAGCTGTTTCAGTTTCTCGCAGGAGAAGTTTTCTTATTGCAGGCCAGGTATTGTCGTTGGCTCCATCTAATAGAGCCTCAACAGGTCCTGATAATGCCTTGTTCAATTTTGACTGCACATGGTAACAAAGAATAAAATAAAAATTTATCGAATCCATAATTATAACCAAAAAGCAGTATATGCTTAACCAGCTCTCTTTTTCTAATGCGAGTTCAATCGCATAACATTTAGTACATTAAAATAATCCATTGCAGTGACATATCCTTTCACAAACTGAAGCTCACTCATTCTTCAATCAAAATTGCAAACTCCATATCTTTACCCATGCTTCATAAGACACTTAAGGCAGTGGGAATAAAAAATGATAGCAATGATATACACCATTTGTTGTCAAAGTTGCAACAGAAATAGCTCATACCTCATACATTGTTGTGATTTCAGACAGCTTAGCAGTACGAACTGCAGCAACATGTGCATCTATATCACGCCGGAGCTTCTCTCTTATTTTAGAAGCATCCCAATTTGCCAGGTCAATGTTCGTATCTGCAAAGTAACAAAAATCCATCAAAAAACGAGCATTGACAGGATGTCGATTTTCTATGGTTTCATCTCACCGCAATTTATCAGCCACTGAACCTTAAATTCGGTTCACTAGTAAGTTGTAACACAGTAACAAATTTCATAAGATCATCGAGGAGAAAAATGCTGTAAAGTAGAGCTAATTTTCACATGAAGACAGAAATAAGAATAAAAGAAAAAGAAAATTTCCATGGTTGTCGCAAAACAAATTTTAAAGTTTCCCTTCTAGGTAATAAAAGTTAACCGCATACAATGCTATCACAATGCACAAACACCCTATACCCTGGCCAGTTACTGTACCTGCAGCTTCTTCGTCAAAGTGTGACATAAAATACTTGATGCAATCACGAGCAGCGACAGCAAATCCTTTCCCTTCATTCAAGGCATTATCAAATGCATTTTTAAACCTATCCAAGTTTCCGGAGCGTATGTGACCCAACATGGATTGGTAAGCTGGTTGGACAAGCTAATATAGACCACAAGAAAAAACAGATGGACCATGAGAAGGAAAAAACAATAAACTAAAAAGATAAATGACATGAGGATAAAAAATTTATTCCAAACTTCAGCCCTTGTATCATCAACTCTCTGTCACGAAACAGCTAAGCATGTCAGACACATAATTCCAAATTAGAGATTAAACGCGGGCCTAAAATTCCAGTTTACTCCCAGCATACAAATATAACTTTAACAACATCTAACTTCTTTTTATTAGAGACAAAAATAAATTAACGAAGCCATCAGATCCTCCAAATTCCACTACCCTTTCTATTTATTTTATGAAGGAATATAGCATAATTAAAAGTGTGATAGCAAGCACGTAGAACAGATCATGGAATATTACTTGCAACAACTTCTCCTCCAGCTGTTTTCGCTTTGAAGATCTCACGCCTTCATCAAAATATGTGGCTTCTGCATCATACCTATAACAGAAATGAAAAACACATAAATGAGGAGAGATAAGATATCCAGAAGGCACGGCGAATCAAGCAGCCAATACAAACTTAGCCCCTACTTGTCTCCCATTCTTTCAAAACTCTTTTTCCTACACTCATTTTCAACTACACATTTACACAATAAAATATTCTACACATAAACCCAAAACTTTTCCCCACTTTTTAACTACACATTCTCCAAAAAATCACTATTTAAAACAATGTTTTTCCAAAATAATGGCCACCAAACAGGGGGCTTAGTCTGACAAGATTTTCAATAGAGGGAAAATTTCCCGCTAACTAAACCATTTTCTTTTGTTTTCCCCAATAGGTACAAAAAGTGATCCATTTTCTTTTATCGGTGAGAGAGAGAGAGGTTACACATTTTCACCTGTCGGGACTATCGAAATAAAGTGACAGGTCTAGTCTACTGTTAAGTCTTTCACTTGTATGAATTATGTTTTATGTAAGTACAATTAACTGAATTTTTTTATCCAAAAACCATACTTCAGTGGTCCTCTCAACATCTAGTTTCTAAGTAATTGCAACAGAATCTAACACTTGCTCTGGCACAAGGTACAGGGATCTCAAAACACGAGCATCGTTTGCCTTAGTAGTTCACACTACAACATCTAAGCAATCTTCAAAGAATTGCCAAATTCTTCAACGTAGCCACTAGCATCTTCCACACTATTACATTCAAACACAATTGTTTTGGGCTAGTAGAGGAATGCAAATGCAGATATGTACGCACTTACTCCGATAAACAAACATCAAGAACTGTGCTGAGCTTCCTCCCAAACCCTGGTACTGGCTGAAATTGAACAGTCTCTTCTAGTTGACGCCATTCCTGCACAGGCACAGACACAAACGCGCACACACATGTATGTGGATCAGATTTTTTGATAATTTACAGTGTTAATTTCAAATGAGTTCAGTACAGCATTAAACAAAAAAAAAAAAAAATGTATATCCAAGAAAGTCACCTCATTTCCGATAAATGAAGAGAACTTTTCATTAGCAATCTCCTCACACCGTACGGTGGCAACCATGACCTACAAATGTAGGAAAATATGTCAATGAAAAACTACCTGATTAGTTCATTTGAGACTTTATGAGCAGATTTTTGGTTCCCCACCTTGTGAGCAGGAAGGTCGAGGTCCTTGTTCTCCTTAATGATCTTCCAAATCTGTTGAGCACTAAATGAAAAGCCTGAAGCAGGAACCACGGCCCTCCTATCCCCAGCAAGCCCACCAGGGGCAATAGAATGAAAGAATCGCTGTCTCAGACTCGCCACCTTCATCAACAACACAAATTAACAACAAAATTTTAGATTCTTAAGTACATTATTGACAGAAAAATCCATCTTTCTGTGAACAATCCATAGACAAACACGGGGAAAGAACAAAGGTATGATAAGGACAGGCATTTGAAGACCGTGAATATAATTTTGAAAGGATTCAAATAAACCTGCTCTCTAAATTGTTCTTCCTTCTCTTCATAACTAGAAAGAGCCACAACTTCAACCTGTCATTCCATCATTTAAGGAAAAGTCCTAATAAAGAGTTTTTAGCATAAAAGAGACGTGATGTAGCTTATTTAACTTAATATTGACATCTTACATTAAAAAATTCACTTAACGGAGTTTCCCTGTGAGCTTGTGGCTTAGGAACAACATCCCATATCTTCAAAAGAGGGAGCAGTGAGTGACAGAGAGAAGGTGGGAAACAGACTAGAACAAGAACCATTAGGCATACAATATACCTTCTGAATGTCTTCCCTCAATACAGGTTCCAGATTTTCCAAAGGCGTCTATAACATGTCAAGAGGGAGGAAAAAAAAAAAAAAGCTCCAGCATATGAAAAAGTTATTTGAGGGCACCAAATGCCCTAAAATAATAAATTTTTTAAGTACATTGAGCAACAACAAAAGAGAAAGGTGAGACAAACATACCCTCGTTTTATCACGTATAACAAACAACAAAGTTGTTTTACGTGGACTGAATAATCTCATCATAACCTGTTGATTATGAGATAGAATAGTAACGCATTTGAATCTCAACTTACATTTTTCGGAAGGAGAAGGTGCGTCAAGTACCTGGAATACAGTTTTCAAGAGAGGCTTATTTGCAGCCTGCTCACGGCCAATGTCATGACACCACCTGAATATTTTTCAAGCAAGTTATTCATAACTTAACAATCCCAAAAGAGTTCATAAATTGCACCAGACATTTTTAAAGGAACAAAACAATCTTACATGTTTATTAGTACTATATCTGAAACGGCAAGGGCAAAAAGAGCACTCTGCTTTTCAAATGCGGTATCGTCCTGATAGGAACAGAAAAATTAGAATTGAACACGAGAAACCAACATCATATTCACAAACTTTTCAATGTGACTTCAATAATTTAGCTCTTGTTTGGTAAAGCTTTTCTCATATTTTAAGCTGGTCAAACTTCAACCACACATCCCAATGGATGCACAAGTAGTATTCACTTTTTCAACACATGTTCATTGGACACACCAACTTGAAATCTCCAAAAGTTTTATCAAACAGGCTCTTAATTGAATTAAGAGCTATTAAGCAATTTACAAAAGCTGGAATGTCCAAGGATACTAAAACGTGTGAATCAATAAATGAATTCCCAGACAGGATCGGGATGTAGATAAAACTCCATTTATCCTAGAAAGATAATTTCAAAGTGATCCCTCAAAGGAAGATGCTTATAGTGTCCAAGGATGTGAATCGTGTGATAGAAACTAATAATTGAATCCGTCCCAGAATTATGTTCATAGGGAATCTGAGGTTTGCTTGGAGGGATTGAAAATGAAGCGCCAAATGACAAAATAATGTAAATTAAATAGCAATTTCAAACGATGCAGGAGACAGTAAAGACATGGTTTCAAAACCAAATGAAATCTGAGTAGCAGCTGCACGTCATAATATTAATGGCCTAACATATTATTGCCAACAGCAGACATAGATGTCGTCGTTAAATCATATATTTCCAAAGCATAAGAGTTATAACAATGACGATAACCCATAAATGAACAACTCACCACGTAAACATAAGGTCATTATGTAGACGTGTTTAACATAGTACCTCTCCTCGTTCTCTTCCATCAGTGCCCTCTAAATCCATTACAAGAGTACAAGGTTCAATCCCAACACATTGTGCCATCCATATCCCTTTTGTGGTCTGAGACCTGAGGAAATTCATATGCTGTCAGTTTATATAAATCTAATAGCTACCAAATAAGTGACAGCAATCTTGAGAAGCACCCACCTCCCCTTAAAAGCATCCATCTCCCTAAAATTAGTACCAAATAGGTGATTTAACAGTGTACTCTTCCCTGTCAAAATCATAGAAGAATTTTCATATTAATTTATGCAGGAAAGAACTGACCAACACAATATTAACCAGTGTGTTGAAAAGCATTCGAGGCGCACCCATTAAAGGTTTTCATTAGCATATGCTTTGAGTGCCCTTTATATCTTCATTTACTGAAATGCATGCCTCAGGACATCAACCATGATGGTTGAAGCTCCTTAACCAACCTTTTTCTAAACTATTTGTGCTTTACTAGCCTCGGCTTTTAGGGATCGTTTTCCGCAGGACATTTTAGGATGCTTAGAACACAATCCAACACTAAAATTATTGAAGAGTAGAGAAGAGAATACGTGAAGAGCCCGTATGTCTTACCCCTCTGACTCCTACAACTGAAGCATGATCCCCGAAGTGATATTGCAACTTTTCTGTCGCAGCAAGAGACCTGCAACATGTAGCTTCATTCTTCTTCCCTTTCTTTTATATTTGTGTTTTCTTTCAAGATTCACTTCTATTTCTAAATCCAAGAAAGCAAAATCTTTAAATAATTGGTCAGTTGTTTCATTTGTTTTAGACTTTTAGCTTTAGTAGTGGATTAATGGTCTTGTTATTTTATTACTAGATTGTTAAATTATTATTTATTAATCCATTTCATGCTTTTAGTTGCATATTAGACTTCTAATTTTGTTGATATGTTCTATAGGGTATTTTCTGATGGTTTATGGTTTATTGCACGTATAATTTTTAATTTTCAAAATTATTTGAATTATTTTATTGGTTTATTTTGAAACTTACTCCTTGGCTCATAGAGGCAAAATGCCTCCATACCTGATAGCCTTTTCAACCACTGGTCTAAACATAATAACGTCCATGTTTATGAGCAGTATTTTGAGATGCTAAATAGAAAAGGTGGAAAAGGAAGAAAAAAAAATACTGAAATTGACATATGCCGAACTGATGAGAAAAATAGAGGTGTCTTTAGAGCCAAGTCCATACCACTACTTTGAGGACCCATGATGGAGACTACGGCATAAGAAAGCCCACATTCGGCAAGTTTAATTTCCTTCATGAAATTATCAATTCCAGAGACATTGAAAGTACCGTCCCCATCTACGAGGTGAGTTGAACAGCTTTTATCTGGACAGATGGTATAGGAATTGTATTAACAATAAGCAAACACAAAACTTGGGCAGAACCCCTTACTTCATACACCGAACAAATGCATAAATATATCAGGTTTCATCATATAGAATACATGCATAAATTAATTGAAAACAAAAAATAAACAAATATAATGACAAAAAATAATTTAAACCTTCAAAGAAAAGAGAAATTTTTTAGTCATTCTCAAGAAAAAAACGTCATGACCGTTGGAAATACATGGAGATATTGTTGAAAGCAGGTGTTAAAAACCTTAACTGAATCAAGAAATGTCAGAAGCTAGGCTGAGCTTATTCCTAATTTCTATTTTCTCCACCATTTATTATGATTGCAAGATTCAAATAGTTCTTTATTTAAATAATGTCGGCAAAAAATTTCAATTTCCACTATGAGCATCATGCATGAACTCCAAAACACAGTTAAATCAGAAGGCAGCAGCCGAGTGAAATGTTAAAAGTTTCAAATCAAGTATCAATCACGATTGAATTAATAAATCAACTTAATAAAACTTGTACAAAATTAATCCAAATCAAAAAATTTAACAGAAGATATTTGACCTATTTAAACAAGAAACCATAACTGAAAAACAGTTAAGCACAAAACAAGAAACATGCTGCGATAACAATAAATAATTACGTTGTGAAGTAAATTAAATTCTAGCCCTGACTACTTATTAAAGTTGATGATAAAAGCGCAACACTAAATTGATCGTTTATATAATGTCAATTAGCCGGTTGTAACATGAAATTGAAACGTACCCATTTGCAAGAACGAGAGAGTTCGATCTGAGGTGATGATTTTGTGGGAACCCGAGATTGAGAGATCAATGAAATCGGGAAACAATTTCTAATCGGAGTACAGGATCTGGTGAATTAATGTATTCAAGAATTCCACTGCCCCTTTTGTTGAAATCGAGAAAGATAAACACAGAAGAGTGTAAAGGTAAATCCGGGTTTGCTGTAATTCTAAACTAATTCTGACGGCGTTAAGGGGTGGCAGCAGCCTCTCTGCACCGACTAGTTGCCCACTATACCGCCCATGTACCTTTTTCAGAAAAGGAAATGCCACAAATTCTCGTCGATCGAGACAGCGGGATCACACGCTCCAAATCGGAGACCGAAGAACATTCTCTAATTTACATTTGGATAGGGAGTATTTCTTACGCGCCGTGTATAGCGTGAACGTTTTGATTCGGCTTTCTGATTTCATTGTTAAAATTATTCAGCATTTGACCCCCAAACTAAAATAAAGATTTCTCCTTTATTCTTACATTCCGGTGACTTTTTCTTTTCACTTTTCATCATTGTTGAATAAATTTTTTTTCCGCCACATAATGTGGTAAGAGGGGACTCTCTACTTGATTGGGTTTGCGAGGTGACGATGGGGCTGAGAATCAACTTCGTAGTAGGGACGAGGATCATGATTCTTGTTCTGAGACTGTTCCCTTTTTTTCAAAAAATGAAAAAAAAAAAAAAAAGGCCTCATCTCTATAATAAAAATTGAAATAAATAAATAAATGAGTGGATGGTATTGCCATCCCCATGGCCTGTTCAATGAAGCCATGTTCTATCAAGCAAAATATGAATATCCAAAGATGGCTTGATGTGGTAGATATGGAAAGAAATTTCACACACAATGGACCCTAAATTCAGCCTAATCAAGGTGAAGTCCACCGTATTTCTAGGGATGGTAAAAAGATCCGACAAAATCGATACTCTCGGGGCCCTATCACGAACAGGGCGGGGATAACCCGTTTAAATGGGGAAATGCCCCGCCCCGACGGATAACTAGGCAGGGGGTACGAATAACCGCTTAACGGGGAAAGGCCCCACCCCGCCTTAAACGGGTAACGGGGCAGGGGGTACGTATTTCTTGACAAGTCATATGATTCGATCTTTTCACTTCATTTTGTTCAATCGGCGCTCGGAGCTTTCTACAGACCCCTCATCCTCTGGCCACGAGGTCCAAAGTCCAAGTCATGGGCTTCCCCACAATGTTTGTTGGGAACAATACATTTATAAGGTATTTACTTTACACCTTTTCAAAAATACAAAAACACGTTTGAAAATTCACAAATCAGGTTTTTTAAATTTTTAATTAATAATTAATGAATTACTAAATCAATTTATTATTAAATATTTAATTCTAATTTAATATAATTACCCCACCCCACCCCACCTCCACCACCCCAACCGACTTTCCGATCACCACTCTTCTCTGGCGACTGTTCCGTGATCGTTCCGACGACTATTCCGACGACTGCTCCGATTCTGACAAGTATTTCGATGACCGTTCCGTCACTTTTTAGGTCACAATTCAAAATTTTCATAGGTCACAATTTGTTCATCGGTCACAACTTAAAAATTTAAAAGTCACAATCAGTTCATCGGTCACAATCACAAAATTTAAAAGTTACATTATTTATTTTATAGTCACAAACATCAATTTATTGGTCACAAATTAGTAATTTTTAGATCACACAGTTTGTACTGGTCACAATTTATTGAATTCATTGGTCACAAATTATTTATTGGTCACAAACCGACCAAATTATTGGTCACAAACAATCAAATCATTTGTAACCATCACCAAATCATCTGTGACCACAACTTCGCCACTGCCTCCACCAGCAGCGCCACCATCGTCGACACATCTTCACCACCATCACGTGTAGCACGACCACACCAGCCATACGCTGCACATCCAACGGTCACACAGCAACACCGCAACGGTCGCACCAAAAAGGGCACAACCATCGCACAGAAACGCACCACCGCACGCAACAAGAAACACACCCAAACCACACAATCACCACCGCCGCACAAACACACACCCAACAACAGCCAAAACACCGGAACCACAGCCAACACGACAACCAACAGCCAACACTGGATCTGCAACGCCAGAAAACACAACAACCTACAGAGACCACTGGATCCACACCATTGGCACTCACCCAGCCATCGGATTAGATCGCAACCGCACCCAACACTCCATCACCACCGCATAGCACTACCAAAAAAAAAAAAAACAGATCTGAGACCCGTTAACAGTTTGCACCTCCACACCCCAACTGCAAGAAAGGCTGGCTCGTCGACAATCCTCACCTCCTAACGCCAACCGCATGAAATTACAGATGCCGGAGTAAGCAGCAGCGGCCGGGGTGGAGATAGAGAGAAGAGACAGAGAGAGGAGAAGACAAAGAGGCAGCTGAGGAGTTGAAGAAGACGAGAGAGAGTGAAACGAGAAAGTGAGTTGAGTGGAAGGAGTCCCCACGTCGGCGGGCGGTGGCTGCGGCGACGAGAGAGGGAGTAGAGAAGAAGGGTTGACGAGGATTGGTGAGAGAGAGAGTGTGGGTGGGAGAGGAATTGATTGGAATGATTAGGGTTTGGTTGGGGTGAATTTTTTTTTTTTTTTTTGTATATAGATATAAAAATAAAAATAAAAATATATATTTAAATTATTAATTAAAACCTGATTTTTGAAATGTTGAATTTGTTATTGGATTTGTGAAATTCGAAATCTATTTTCAAGTGTGGGTGTAATTTCCTCATGTTTGTTTGCGGACAAGGATGCAAAGTCCATTTCCATGACCCTTCAGAGTAAGGCTTGGACTCACCCAGCCCATGTTTACGCATTTTGGACTGAAGCAGCCAATTTTTACACCTCTTGGACTAACCTGGCACGACCCAGTACGAGACATGGTTTTCAGGGCTGGCCCTGGCGGGCTTGGACTGACCCAGTCTATTTTATCGCCTAGAACCATGTCCAGTGGCCATACAGGTGTTTCTTGGTAGGCAATTACATGAACTCACCAAATACAAGAAAAAAATGAAAAAACAAATAAAAATTACAAAACATAATATAATAGTACGAAAGATTAGAATATGGCAAAAATCAGACACAACATACACTTATGACCTGTGAAAGATTAATTAGCTTTCGACCTGAGAAGTTATCAGGTAATTAAAAGATTAAGAGTCGCGATTCCTTCAAAATCAACGCTAACAAGCCATGAAGCTATAAAATTCTGCACCGATGCTCGATTTTGCGCACTTAAATGTACGTACAACCATAAAATTAGTCAAAAATGCTAGCTAACAGCCTATCATCCTGAGCACGGTTTATATCTCCCATTTCTCTGCCTGCACAAGAAAAGTATTCTTATTATCTACTAGCAATCGATAAGAAAACTTGCATGATTGAGGTCACAGTCAAGAACAAACCAAAACAAATCCTTCTTTTCCTGTTCCAGAAACTCTTCGAATGATATATCAGAGAAGTCAGCATCTGTACTTTCCACTAGGTCGATAGATTTGGCTTTCGTCTCCTCCATGCAAGCACCAAGTTCCAGCATCTTCAAAAAAGAACACATCAAGACTGTCACAATAAACAAGCACCAAGTTCCATGCAAGATTTTGGCTAATAAATTACAGTATAATAGACAATATCTTAACTTATTTTTCTTATTTAATCCTATTCAGTGCAATCTAATTCAGCATGCCAAACATCCCATAACTACGAAAATGTGTTTATACAAACATAGCAGAGAAAATAGAGGTACCTTCTCGTATGCTGGAGAGAGCTTAAGTTGTTGTTGGAGCAAATTATATACAAAAGCATCATCTTCTAGTCTTTTATGTTCTACTTCTAGCTTGTTTATCTACATTTAACAAAGAATATATCGCAATCAGAATGATGAAACTAATCACCAAGATAAGTACACATACAACCAGTTTACTCACCTGTTCATGCAGGCGGTTAACTGAAGACCTGTCTGCTTTAAATAATATGGCCTTGGTTATTATGAACTTCCTTTTGATTACCTCGGATCTGTTCAAGGCGTAATTACATTATGATTGAGATTCAATATTAGGATTGCCAAAAAAAAAAAAAAAAAATTTCCAAATTAGTTTAATGGAAGAAATTCCTATCCAAAACTAAGGTTAGATTTCCACTTTTAAAGACGGTCCAAGCTCATAAAAAAATAAAAATTAAATGAATACTGACAGCACACAAGTAAACGTTCAAGGAAAAAAACATAAGCTGCAAGGCCTTGGAAAATAAGAAAGGTGTCATTAAAGACTAGCATGCAGTTTGCTTAAAAACTGAGTAATAGAAAATCAGCTCTTTATTTAGAGCTTGCTTGAGGTGAGCACACAATTTACTAAAACTACAACTCCGTTTGCTAGCTTCATATACATATCTGAAATCATCTGTACTTGATAGCCGTAGGATGGGTTAATGAACAGTTGAACTTCAGATTATGTTCTATTTTCTTAGAAGTTGCTCGTGTGAATGCTTCAAATATAGAAAGTTGAAAACTTTTGATCCAAACTAGTCCTTAAAGTGCTAGAAGGAATTTGGCAGGACATGTATACAAAGATTTAGACAACCATAGCAATCATAGCAATAAGCTCAAAATCTGAATCATTGTTTCTTTGATTTAACATAAGGAAAACTTTGCAAACATACTTGTTCTGCAGCTCGTTTCTCGCCTCAACCAGGCAATTGACGAATTTGCCCACCTGCATTATTCACCGTAAGAGAACGTATACTTCTAATAATTTTTGAGCACAAATATGAAATTTCGAATTCTAAAAATCAGATGCAATCATGAAAATGACATAATATTTGCACCACGCTAGTTAAATGGTTGGCCATGATTATGGAAATATTATAGCCCCACAAGAGCTAATGACCCAGTTAAAAAAGAAAGAAATTCAAGGTTAAGGGAGAAAGGAACGAACATAAAATCCTGAAATTACAACTTATTAGGTACCTCAGATTTATATATTTATCAGTATGATTAGCATGCTTTTATATCGTCTCTCACTTTCACATTTTTAATCTATTTCATAATACTAACTACTAAACTTGTATTACATTTAATGTTTGTTTGAATTTTCACTTAGAAACTATATAAGTTGGTGAATCGAATGTTCAAAGGACTCATTAGGGCCATCATTGAGGTTTACTTATAGCATGTTTGGTAAGTGTTTAACGGTTTAAATTATAAATAGATAGAAATGAGGGATGGATAATTGGGTATTACTTGTGGGTCCCTCAAAACGAGGGGATAAAAAGTGGCTTGAGTGTCAAAACTTGGAAGGGTGGCTGTCATATCGATGATCTGAGACAAGCTTTTGAAATAATGAGGAGGTAGTTAAACCCAGCAAAGTGCACCTTTGAGTTTGTTCAGGAAAATTCTAGGGATAAATGGTCTCGGAGCGCGGCATTGAGGCAAACCCAGAAAGATTAAGGTGTTGCAGGACATGGCCCCCCATGCAACATGAGAAATGTGTTGTGGTTAACATGGAGCATTGTTGCACTAAACATATTCCTCTCCATAACTGCAGATAAGGGTCTCCCGTTCTTCAAGATTCTCCACAGTCCGCAACACGAAGCACTTCGAACGTAGTGAAGAATGCCATCCCTCAGCCAACTGATACAACACTTGGCCTAATGCACAAGATAAGCACACTTTCACCTACCAAATATCTTTGCTCCCCATTTTTCCATAATCCATTTTTGACTCGTTTTGTCGTCAGAAATAGCATCGGCACGTCACTAACCAGAGGAATATCCCCGTAATTTTTACCATTAACCATAAAACCTCAAAGAGACGGGTGGTGCCCTATATACTTATAAACCTACAAGGCAAGCTTTTCCATGAGCAATGTGACACTCAAAATAGTCGTTTCAAAGGCATGTCACTTACCAAAGGAATATCCCCGTAAGAATTACTATTCATCATAAAAAACACAAGAGACAGGCGCCCAACATATTATACCAACGAGGCAAGTTTTTTCACGTCGACGTGAGACTCAGAACTAAACCAGTTGCTACAAAATTCTAGCATAAATAGCAAATAGCAAAATATGAATGTTTTGAAGTCGCTAACAAAAGAAAGGGAATTGGGGTTCCATTTCATAAGGTTAACTCATTAGATGGAGTAACCCAATTCCTTGTAAGACTATTATATGCCCAATGTCTAACTGATTTGGGACTTTGTTTTCACTTTCCCAACCACCCCCCTTCGAACAAAGTACCATATCATCTAGTCCTCCTCCAATGATAACTTTTCCGTCCCTCTTTACACTCCTTCAAGACTCACCTCTTCCAGTGCATTAGAGGCACCATCTTAGGCACAACCGCCTTAAGAACCAATTACGGATTTTTTCAACCATCACAAATCCAGCTTGGGTTCCACTAACTTCATTCAACTGCAACTCGGGATCCATTTTGTGTGTCCACGTGGCAAAGTTTGATGATACCACTTGTGGGAATTGGTGGTTGCATCCAAAAAGGTTAATATACTAAGTGGAGTAGCTCAATCCCTTATAAATTCGCCATCTCATCTATCCATGGCTAGCTGACCTGAGACTTTGTCCGCACGTAACCAATACTAACTTCCACGCCAGAGATTTGCTCAACTACATAGATAACATTCCAAGCATAGAAATATTTCCCTAAATTTCGACCCCTATTAAATCATTCCTTCAGTCTCATATTTTTAAATAAATAAGATTACATCTGAGCTTATAAACAAAAAGAAATTGATAAGAAGGCAGAAGGGGACCAACAATATTATAATAAAAGGCTTATATTTTGCAGGGAAAAAAACACATAAACCCAAAAATTGAAACACGATATTTTGCTTTATCAAGAAGCATATTATGAAAATTAAATAAATAAATAACTGTAAATTATTGTAAAAAAGAGGGAAAAAGGGAAGAAGAAGAACCTGAGCCAGAGTCAAGCCTTTGGACTCATGGGATTTGACAAGTTGATCATACTGCAGCTTAATTTTCCTCTGAATTGCACTTGAAGATTTCGTTAATGGGTACAGGCATACGAATTCTTCCTCCTCCTGTTTCTCTCCACAATTTGAATCGGGTCTCTTCTTCTTGACCCGCTTCTTCTTCTTCCTCTTCTTCTCCTCCTGGTCCGACCCGTTTTTATTATTCGGATCTTCATTTATGCACGTGTCAGATTCATGAGGATTTTCTTGTTTCTGTTGCTGGGTTCTATTTCTGTCATAATTATCAGTATTATCTACCGGTAAAGATTGGATTTTTATGGGTTTTCCTCGTGGATTTTCATCAATTTTCTTGAAGAATATGTAGAGAGAGAAAATAAGGACAGAAAGAGTGAGAATAAGGAAGTAACTCATACAAGAGTATATAGCAATGTGAAATGGAGAAGGTGCCGCCATTGATGGGAAAGTATCATTCAGAGAGGAAAATGGCGTGTACACACAAGTTATATAGGTAGTGAGGGAAAGAGAAACATAAGACTTTAGATTTGTTTAGCAGCAGGTAGATTTTTAAGGATGTGATTTTTGTTTGTATTTCTATTTTAGGATTTTATATAATAATCTTCTTATTCCTATGCTTCTAATTTGTTGTTACTTAGAATTTTAAACTTCAATTCTAAAGTCTTGATTTTTCTTTTCTTTTAATATTATTTAAAAGAATATATGTTTGATTGTATAATATTAAGGACATGTTTGATGTAGATTTTTTTAAAGAAGGTGTGATAAGAAATTAAGGAAAATTTATGGTTCCGCACCTTTCAAGAATCTCTAACAAACAGGGATTAAGAAACAAATTGATGTAATATAATTTATTAATTGTCATGTTTAACCCCGTTTTGTCAAAATTCCAAAAACACACCATCATCATGATTGGTAAAATGGCACTAAAGAAGTTTCCAATGCAATCGCAAGTCAATATTATTGATACAAAATTGCAAGCATTTACAAGGAAAAAGCAATTAATCAATATAAATATTGCTTTCTTGCACATGAAAAATACTTAAATCATATCTTGCAAGCAAAGGGCTTCCATAACTGCAATAGACACTATTCGCATCGTCACAATCATTGAATTCCATTTGACATGTATTTTGAAAAGTGAAAACAAGCTTTTGAGAATCAAAATAAGGCCACCAACCAAAATATAGCCCGCGTGAGATCAAAGTCACTTGCCATCTGTTCGCTTAACTAACGGAAAAATTGTAACAAGGGCCCCTAACATTTTCAATTTTTGTAGACTTTACCATAACTTTCAATTTGTACCAACGAAGGTCTCTAACCTTTCAGAAAGATGCAACAAAGGTCCAAATTGATGGAAATCATTTGTTTGGCCGTTAGTTGACCAAATTTAAAATTGGTACAATGATAAGCTTACTATTTATCCCTTAAAATAATTAAAATAAAATAAAAAGAAAAGGAAAAAATATTAATTATCTCCCCTTTTCACCCCACCCACATTCAAACCAAACAAACCCTTTTGCTACCACAACTCGCCATTGCCATCATCGTCGCCGCTGCTACAGCCACTTCCGACAACTTTCCCTACTCATTTTATCTTATTTTCTAACCATATTCACGCCTCCACCCCAAAACAAAATCAAAACCAACATATTTATCCTTTCTCATTCCCACAAAACTGAGGCTTGAATGTTTTCATTTTTTTAAAAAAAAATTGAAATCGAGGCATTTTTGGATCAAATCTCATTAGTTTTTCATCAGTTCAACTAGGGGTGGGCAAAACCCAATCGAATCTGCCAAAATCGTCCAAACCGAACCAACCCGATCGGTTTGAGTTGATTTTTTTGTCGTTTTTACACGGGTTGATTGTGCAGCTGGGTCGGGTTAGGTCGGGTTTTGCAAGTGTTATGATGTTCCTTGGAAACTTTTAGAATAATATTATAAGACTTGTATATAATGCATTTTACGAAAATTAGTATAATCAAATACACATTCAGCACAAAAATATTTTAATTGCCAAAAATATTTCTTGACTTCATATAACTTAATATCAATCTGTCCATATAATATTTTCGGGAATGAAGCGTCAAAATAATTCAGATTTTTTTGTTCATTGCAACTATGGAGACCAAATATTATATAAATCATGAGTCAATTATTTGACAAGTTGTCACAACCCAACCCAACCATATCGATATTTGATTGGGTTGTGTTGTGTTTCAACCTTTACATGGATTGAGTAGGTGGATACAGTCGATTTGGCTACTGTTTTTGTTGGTGGATACGGTCAACAATGGTGATTGTGGTGTGGTGGATCTAGTAGTATACAAGCGATAGTTGTGAGTTTGACGAAGGGCTGGTGTGACCTGTTTATGGTGGTATGTGCGGTGGTGTTGCTGGTGCGGTGTGTTGATGGTGATGGTGATGGTGGTGGTGGTGTGTTGTTGATGGGGGCAGTGGTGGAATAACGTTTATAACCAATTATTTGGTTAATTTGTGATCAAGTATTGGTGATGGATCGGGATTGGAGGTGGGGTGTTTGGTGTATGTGACCAACTATTTGGTTTATTGTGACTAACCATTAAACTATGACCTTAAAATTCGATAATTTGTGACTAAAAAATAATTTGTGACCAACAAATTTAAAAATATATGACTGGTAAATGAACTGTGACCTATAATTTTTTTGATATGTGGCCAATGAAATAAATTGTAACGTATAAAAATTTTGATTTGTGACCTCAAAATAATTTGTGACCAATTAATTTAATAATATGTGACCAATAAATAAGTCGTGACATATAATTATGTATATGTGACAATTAATTGTATAATTGTAAATTTATTATATTTAAATAATAATTATTTTTAATTAATTAACTAAATACTTGAGTTTTGCATTTTTTAAACTTAATACCTGATTTTTACAATTGTGAAACTTAATATCTGATTTGTGAACTCTTCCCTTTTTCTTATAACTTAAGAAGTGTAAACCAATTTTAGTAGTCAAACATAGGCTAACCGTCAAACTATTTTTCCACATACCATCGAGTAGTACCTAACTTATTTGGCACTCATTTTTATCTATAATTTGAAGTTGCGAGCGGCAGAGGCGTTGTAGGGAGAAATAATCGGAATTTCTCAAAGAGTAAATTAATATTGTAGGACTTTGAGCATAGATAATTGAGAAATGCATTTTGGAACTCAGATAATAAGTTGTCAATTTTAGAAGACGCAAAACATACAAAATGAAACAAGATAAGTGGGCACACTTGATTCATTGTCCAGTATCTACCGTTGGCAAGGAGAGCGATAACTAGCAGGAAATAAAGTTATTTCTTACCAATTAATCGAATAGCCAAAGAACATACCCATATTGTATAATTCCAATGGGCTTTTCCCAGGATATATAAAAACACAAAACTTTAAGAAATATCCTACGAACTATGGCATGACAATATATGTTTATGTAACAACGTTAGTTGGAAGTAAAGAGAGAGCCGATTGGACCAAATTTACCAATTTTGGTCCAAGACTAGCGAGAGTATTCGACAGAGGTCCACAAAAGTCGACGTTTTCCCAAGAGGACGACTCCTTTTCTTTTAGTACTTGGAGTTGGCTTTCCAAATATCTTTTAAGACTGGCTTCTGAGATATTGATCAAGCTAAGTGAAGCGTTTGTGTGCATGAATCTGTTGACGAGTAACCCTGCAAGAATCTGTTGCTCTGCCTTCACAAGCTCTGCTATGAAAAATGGAAAGAGAAGTTTCACAAAAAGAAAATCGAAACTTTCTTTTCTGTTTTTTCCGCCTTCAATGGGCAGGGCTGCCTCCTGCCACTGACGACAAAAATTCCCAACCATATAGCAAAGATAGGAGAAAGTAGTGCCATACGAGGATTTAGTGATGATGGTTGATAAGATCCCTGAAGATAGTACAAGAACAAACAACTCGTGGTCCCTGACAACGTTGTTGTCTGTTATACCTCGTTCCTTCAGAATATTCTCGACTGCATCTAAACATTGCAGCTGTATTGTTGTATATGGCTGAATCAATGCCATCTGAAGAGCTAGAAAGCAATCCACCTCAAGTGCAATTTGAGTTAGTGCACAAGCATCATCTTCATCCAGCAGCAATATTTCACAATTTTTTACTGAGTATTGATCGATCAATTTCATTACGTCCCTGTGTTGGGATAACATCACCAATTTCTTGAAGATCGTCGCCCAACAAATATGCAGGGGATGGATATAAAGGCTACTATTCTCTTTCTTTGTTTCTTTCTCAATAGATTCTTCTTGGAAGCTTTCCCACCCTTCATCCCAGTCATCATTGCTCCAGCCGTTCCCAGCATCAGATACCTCTGCAGCCAACTCATCTTCTTGGTCTTTTCCATTCCTAAAGAGCCCCTCCCATTCAGTCAACATAGCCACCAATGTATTCAGATGGGATTCAGCTGTTGCTGATTCCGATAATTTAAGAAAGCTGGAAACTGCAGATTCCACAGTAAGAAGATTTTCCGGCAAAATTTCTAGGTTCAGTGAGATAGTTGAAAGCAACTGAGATGATTTAAGGGCTACCAGGGTATTTTTAAAATTGCTCGATGCATCTCGTACCGTTGGATCATCAGAATTTTTGTTGTGATTTGCAGTTCTACTTTCCTGCAGATCATCCCAACCTTCCCAAGGCAGTACACGGACCGGAGGCTCAGAAGAAGAAACTTCTGAATTTCTCCTTCCACCAGAGATAAGCTGCATAATCTCCAATGCGTACAATCGAACGTGGCTAGGCAGTTGCAAGTTATCAGAGAATATGACCATTCTATTCCAAACTGCACACCTTACTTTATGCAGATCCTCCAAATCACCCTCCAATTTACTCAAGGACGATAAAAGAAAATGTAGATTCTGGTGATTGAGTTGCCCACAAGCCAATTCCTGTAAGACAGTTTCCAGAATAGTTAAATAGAGGCTAGGAAGATCATGGAAATTAACGGGTTGGAACTGTGCCGCTAGTTCAGAAAATATGTGAGATACAGCTTCAAATCCACAACCTGAGATAATCATTGCTCGGCAGAAATTTAAAGTTTCAACATCAACACCACCTCTAAGACCATAGCTCACATAGCTAATAATAGTGTCCCAACCCTGAATTGATGATACTTTTCCCTTACTAAGCAAACACGAGAAGACTTTAAAAGATGTCATAGAACATTTAGAACACCAACTTCCATCTGGAATATCCAGTGATGCAAAGTCCTCCATATCATTCATCAGTCCGAGCCAGAAATTTAGAAGCATAATGAGGCACTCTTGCTCAGTTGAGTCACCAAATTTCTGGCGGGATTTATGCATGGGTAGGATTACACTGAAAAATCGCTTCATGATGTCCAAAACATCGGGATATTCAATATATCTGAGATACTTTCTACAAATATCATAGGTTTGCTCAAGCTCATTCAAAAAGAAGCGGAGATCTTCAGAGCTTTCAATATGAGTTTCTCTTTCAGCTTTATTTTCCAAAGCCGTCGACAAGTTCAATACATGATGTCTATAAACAGACTTCCCTGATAAAAGACCCTCAGGCACTGTATCACCATAGAAACCGACAAGGTTCTCGACCATACTTGCCAATGCTTCCACATTATTTTCGTCAATTTGAGCACAAACTTCATCATTGAAGCAATCCAAGTTCAAATCTTGTAAACTGGCAATGTTTTTGAAGTCCAGACCTTCAACGAAGGAGACCCTGTTGCATTCTTGCTCAACAACCTTGTAGAAACTAGCTAACCCAAGAGCATTTGTATTCAGTGCATCTTTGTCAACTATAGGTGGCAATTCTTTTGACTCTTCAAGCTGAATGTAGCAGTCAGAAAGTAGGCCATAAATAAAAGCAAGCTTTCGCTTGTCATGCCCATTGATTGCAGGGTAAATGGACAACACACTGGTTTTTATTGCTTCAACAGCACAGGCAAGTATATCACTTTTAAAGCCTGAAACTTCAGCGATGACATCATCAATGGTCCAAACCTCGGAAACAAGTATAGCATTAAGGTAATACAGGAGAACCTGAAAATAGCAATGACAACAGAGCACCTTTCAACAAATTAAAATGGACAGCATTATTATTGATATATGATTTAGCAACATATATACATTACCTTGGTGTGATCCAGGCCATAAGTGCGAGCTAATTCCAGAACATCCTTTATGACTTGCTTTTTCTCTAGTTTTACTGAATCAATAAGGGAAAAAACAATACTATTCATATACTCCATATCGCCAGACAAAACGCGTGAAGTTTCAACACCAGGAATTATTTGCTCCAATACCCTTGATTTATCTGCTACATGCTTCTGTTCTTCCAATTTGACTTTCCATTCTTTCCAAAATGAAGACTGTGCTTCGTGAACTTTATTGCGCTCATCTGGATTAGAAGTACAATTTAAAGATTCAGCACTCTACTGAAATAGAGTTAGCATGTAGAAGAAAATCAAAGAATTTCCTTCATCGTCCTAATAGAGACAAATAAACTCTTGTATACAGTAGATAAAGCATGTTCTCAAGATTTTACAAGCTATAAAAGCTTACCTGCACCAAGTGATTTGTGTTTCTCTCGGACTTTACTCAGCAGCAGCTCTCTCCTTTCAGCAGGGTTTTTGCATTCAATGCCATAGTTGTGTAACAAACTATATATCATCCCCACATTCATGATGCTGGAAAATTCATCGTAGTTTTTCCTAGTTCTCAGTTGTTCTTCAATAATTTCCACTCCATGAAAGGCATCGACAAGATTTAACAGAAAAGAACATCCCATGATATCTTCCTCTTCAGAAACAGGTGGTTCCATAATTGACTTAGCCAGGGAGGCAATCAAATCATCTCTTGGGATATAACCATTCCGTGCCAACCATGATAAAATAGTCATCACCGCTTGCGTTCTTACATTAACATGCTGTATACTGAAAACTGAGCAGGAAGTAAGTTTTTTGCCAAATTCTGTATCTCGACTCAATTCGAGCAACCATGGGAGCTGCAAATGAGCAAAAGATACCAGTTTTCCATCTTCTCTAAGAAGGGATTTCCAATCATATCCATTTTCCGGTGACAAATTTTTAGCAACCAGAGAAAGTAAACTCTCCATGTCATTAAGTTGTGATATCTGATCGTCAAAACAGACGTCAACCTTTCCACATAAATCTCCTGAGATTGAGGAACCCTGTGATGAGAAATTTGAAGGCTCTCTTCCTGTCAACATAACCAAGGTTTCACATTGATCCTGCATGTCTAGATCTTTCCATTCATTTAGCAACTCACTGATTGACTCTTCATCACAATGGCTCAAAGCAAAACCTAAAAGCAGCTTTTGAGATTTTAAGTCAATGCTCTCAAGGGCATGACTTCTGGCTAATGCAGCACATAAGTCCCAAGCAGAACCATGACCCTTTTTGGCCAACACGAGACAGAGATCAAAAGCCAGTTGCACATCTCCAGCAATTGCTGCTTCCCTCGCAATAGCTTCCTGTACAGCTGATATGTCTTCCTGTGCGCTTAATCCAAGAAGTTTTGCAATTTCAACAAGTTCGTCAATATTTAGATAAGCGCCACTTTGACTCGAAATTGCCAACTTAATGATTTCCATAGGATCTTTAATTTGCTTAAATGCCATTGGTAGAAGGTTCACCCCAAGATTTGGAAGTCTAACTGTGAGAGCATCAACAATATCAGCCTCTGCTCTGACATTTCTGCTGCTTGGAAAAATATTTAGACACTCCTTAGCCTTCCATATCTGATACAAATTGAAGAGATTTGTGAATTATCAAATCGTGGGCGACTTCTTTTAGACTATATTTGCAAATGATTTTGAACTATCAAATACCAGTTTTGGAAGTGCACAGTGAAGGAAGGGAGACATACTGAAATACCCATTTAGATTTCTGACTAAGCAACTGACAAAATCACCAACAAAAACAGTATATTAAAGAGGGGGTGTTGGGGGTTAATTTCTCATTCTACTTTGCACCGCAGTTCCAGAACAGCATAAGATATTCACCAATGATTGCACTTCTTTCGATAAAGTGAAATTTTACTAGAACAATTCCCACAGCATAACCCAATCACATACAAATCAACAAGGAATCACCACCAAGCCGTGATGTGTAATTAAGTCATTGTTTAGCCCCCATACCTAAAACTCATTTTCCCCCAAACTCATTTTTCAACAACACATTTCAAGTGACCCACAACTTTTTAACCTCAATTTCTATCATAATCTACTAAAAATCTGATTTTTATCAAAACCAAGTAGGGGCTAAATTATCCTTTGTTACTCATCACTATGAACAACTGACACCACCAGTGGGAAAAGCAGAACCATACATCATCCCACTAGGCACATAGTAAGAAGGTAACTGAAATAGAATGGACTCTTTAAGGGAGACAATATTTACCTCTGGGCAAGTAAGACTTGGTGCTGAGAAAAAGTACTCTCGTGCAGCTTGAATGACAAGACTTTCGGCCTTATCTGGTGTCAAAGCTACAGTACTGGAACCTTTCAAATAATTCCTTGCTAGTGAAAATTTCCCTGCTTTAAGCAATGCCCTGCAGAACTCTGTCAGTATGTACTCCAGATCTAGAAATGGAAATGCCTTTTCTTGCAGAGACTCCAAATCATGCCATGTGCTTGCCCAGTCATTATCTGATTGACTTGACTGCCGACGGATAAATTTGGAAAGTAGAAGACGGATTATCTGTTTTACACCCTTTACATCTGAATGGGCATCCAGGAAGAAACTTATGGGCTTTGGGACCTGAACCCACAAAAACCATCGTCAACATTATGTAATGTATCAACATAGGCATTTTCTATCAACCACTAATAAAATGATATTAACTCAAAATGGTGTTATTAGATAGAAACAACAATCGTGTCTAAGAGCAAAATCTTGGGACAATAACCACCATTGAATATCTTTTTGAAAGAAAAAAAACTCAATGGAAGGGAAACTAAAATAAGGAAACCCTGAAAAAAATGTTACTGGCAACCTCAATGAACACAAAATTGGTAAACCAGACTTCTGTAAATTGAATATATATATATGTGTGTGTGTGTACCCTAATGATAAGGAACGAAAAGCTGTTTTAGGCATTTTACAGCATTAATGCATGCAATGAAAAATAAGCAGTACTGGGTGGAAAATAATAACCTCATTTTGTCACAGACAAAAGAAAAACTTATGGTCAGTCGTTAAACCTGGATCAGGCTCGTGCAGTTACTATGGTTATATGAAAACAGATTTGATTCACTCTCTTATAAGATTCATCTCAAATCATTTAGTGAGATAAAGTGAAACCAGGCATACAAAGAAGGGTTAAGAATCCCTCTGAAAAACAAATTTTCCTTTTCTAAGCATGTTTTATTTTTCTTTTTCCTTTTCTTTATTGTGAGACTGGGGAAGAGATTTCTAAATGTCAATACTAAATGCCTGCTAAAGAATTTCAAAATTTTGGAAAAGAAAATTATGGGAGGTATCAAAGTCTACCTGATAATAAGCCAAAAATCTTCCTGCTTCAACATGGCCTTCTGCAAGTTTGAGTCTTTGCTTGAGATCCTCAGCTTCATCTGTCAAAATCTCAGACATATTCAGTTTTATTAAGAACTAAGATATTCTTCCAAATTTTTAATAATTTCTTGAACAATGATAATTATTATGTTACTGTGGGTTTCCACGGGAATCCAACTACATATTTTTTCACATTTATCATTTTCTAACATCCAGAACTTTTTCTTTTTTTCATCCACCAGAGAAATATATTAAATGAAAGTAGACGATTCTTAGTATGCCATTATGCAATGCTTCTTTTTCCAATGTCTTTCGTTTTTTTTTTTTTGTCACTTGATTTTCGGGAAAAAAAGAAAAATATTTCACAGATTAGCTGCCTAAAAAACACTGTAAGAATTCAACTGTTGATTGAACACCTCCATCTGTTTTCAAATAATTATTCTTTCTACCATAATTTAAAAGGGCATGAAAAGTATCAATGAACCCACTAATAAAAAGTTCACAACAGAAAAATATACAGGTCCTAGAATACTATGAATCTAAAAAAACTATGTCAAAATTCAATCACATTTCAAGAATAAGATCAATTTTTGGCCAGGTATCCAACTTCACTATTTCTATTTTGAAAAGTGCCAAGGATATCTTGGTTGCTTTCCACATGTGAGAAGGTTAAACTAATTGCACAACCTTTTGCCTTTCGCGCAAAAGGGAGTAGAATTTATTGACTGGTGATATCTTCAAGGCAACCTTTTATGGGCCAGAATCTACCCTTGATTTTTTTTTTCACTACCAAGCCTTTTTCCTTTTTTTATTTCTTTTTTTGGTATTTGGGCAACAATTAATCTTGGTTTAAAAATTCATCAAATTTGGGCATCTATACAGTACCTGCAACCATTACCAACGTGATGTTATGGAGGAGGTGATATTCCATTGAAATATAAGAGCTCACTTCAGATGCAGTAGATTAAAAATTTTGCAATGTCATTAAGCCACTGTTTGGGATCCATTTTAATGTGTTTTGTGGGAAAATGTATCTTGGAATAGTGATTTTTTTTGGAAAAATGTGTGGTTAAAAAAGAAGGAAAAGTTTTAGGTTTACGTGTAACATTATTTTATTGAAAAATGTGTGGTTAAAAAGAAGAGAGAGAAAAATATATTAAAATTATAATAGAGCCCAAACAGGGGCTAAATTTCAGTTCCAATAAATTAAATCGATAGTACTTGTAAAATCAGGGCTTAGTATGTACTTGTTTGAAAAAATAAAAAAGAAGAACAGCTACTTGTAAGCAAGCATCAAATAACAAACCATTATGGAAATGAAACCACCTACTCTAGATATCTATTGTGAAACCATTAAATGTGTATAGTATAATGGAAATTTCCTATTAAGCAATGTTAACACAGCAATTTTTTTGGAACATCAGACCATAAATCAAACGGGAAAGCTCCTATTCCCCAACTTTACTTGGCAATTTGATTTTCTAAACTGCAAAAAGAGTTGGGCCTTGAGATATGACTTCCAAAACCAATTATAAAAAGGAAAAGAAGGAAAAACTTCATCCTTATGCCTGTGTTTGGGTTTCATTTTCTTTTACTAAAATTTTACTTTTGAAGAAATGAGTGTTGGATAAGTGGGTAGTACTTGTGGGTCCTACAAAATGTGAGGTTAAAATTAATGTTTGACTTTGAAAAGTAAATTTTTAGCTAAAAAAGGAATGAAACCCAAACAGAGGTTATGGATTCAGTTTTACCAAAAAACTTGGTCCTTCGTCAAAAAACTCATTACAAAAAGAAATAAAGAAAAGTGATAGCACAAAACTTGCACGTCAATAGGTTAAATATGCAAATTAGAAATGACATAATGAGGATAAAGATCCATTATCCCCTGTCAAAATAGTCCAAAAGATGACATGCTTTGCTAATTATCCAAGAATCATTTGCTCTTGAGAAAAATTTACCTTGTATGTGTGGAAGTTTAGACAAAATGGCAGACATGGTATCCCACCTATCTACAGCAGAACACAAATATACACACTGGATAGCACAGTCCACTGCTTCAGCTTCATCCTTAAAAAAGAGATTGTTTTCAATGTCCCTGCACCCTTCTTCAATAATCATTAAGCACGTGTCTAATTTATTCTCAGCAATCTCTTTCAGCCATCTAACCAGAAATGAACAAGTCATCTTATCTGGTGTAGAATGATCAAAATTAACTTTGTCACCAGGAATTGTGGTAGCTGAGGGAAACCTCCTTTGCATAAATGGAATTGCCTTTTTGTGTAATCTTGCAATTACATTATTCTCCTTCACGCCCAATAGCATCAATTTGAACTTTTCATAATCAGGAAGTTGTTCCCAGGCAGCAAGGCTCATAGAAAAGTTAATTTCATCTACACTGTCGTCTGAATAAATAAGCTGGTGCAAGTAAGAGACATCCTCAAGGAACGGATGTAAATCACAAATTCCCTTACGACATGCAAAATCAACCAAGCACAAGGAATTGTCTAGCTGACCACTTAAGGTATCAATATCTCTAGCTCTTCCCTTGTACCAAGAAGACAGTTCAGAAGTGGATGGCCATTGAAATTCCATGCATTTCAGCATAATGGGTTCAGTTCTTATCTGGATCCAGCTCTCGTGATTCTTAGGGAGTTTTTGGATAAACATTGCCATCTTATCACATTCAACCCAATCTTCGTCCCGAAGAAAAATACTGGAAGGAGCAGAAGTTCCGGGAAGCATCTGCCCATAAGTTTGAACTGGAATGGTCTCAGGGATAGAAGCTAAAACTTCCAACATCGAAGGAATCAAAGAATAAGGATGACGTTTAAATAGGAGATTCAAGGCCCCAATCTTTCCATCCCCTGCAAGTGCTAAAGCAGCTTCCCTAACCGGAACATTCCGGAATTTCTTATACTCCTGCACAGAGAACCTGCATAAAGCTAAGTCATTAAGTTGCAAGTCAGTAGAAACCATATGAATAGAGTATCCATGCAGGAAATACCGAAGAGAAAGGTAATGAAGTCACATTGAGCTGCATTCTTCAGGTACGAAATTCAAAGAAATGGGTAATAATTTTGGTGATAAAACAGAATCTCACCACTTGGAAAACAAAATATATTGCTAACAAAGAAAGCTGGGATGCCAAGGATCCTAAGATTTAGCACCTAATAACATAGTAGCTTGACTGCTGGTACCTTCCACACAAACAAAGAAGTATCTGAGGGAAACATTTGGAAGCAATTCAAGGGAGAATTAAGCATTGCCAAATTCTTAGGATTTATAATTAACAGTCTTCGGACTCTTAGATCTCATACATTGATGACTTGTAAGAAATCATAACAATAACATTTTGAGACTATCTTGGGGCATAAATATTTTGTTTCTAAATGAAATTTAAAGCAAAAATTTGAGTTGTTACGAGTTAAACCTCACATTTAAATTCCTCCGAATTCAACATACTCAAGAAGTCAAATCCTGCCAAAGAAGTGGCCTGAGAACAATGTTGCAATATATGCATGCATGCATACACATGTTAAGGCAAATTTTTCAAGTACTTTATTCTTTACCTCTATATCTATAAACTTAAAACCAATTTTCCAATAGGAGTAAACAATTTTTTTTTTAAAAAAGGGAACTTGGACATGGCTCAGAAAGTAAGACTCGAGAACTTGAGTGAGTTTTGACAGACATTAGTAATCAAACATCGATGTAAATGCATGCATACAGTGCATACAGTGCATACATACAACACATCCCCTCAAAAGAGATACACGACACATATATATACACTACATGGCAAAAACATGTACATACTGCAATTAATAGTACATCTAAACTCTATCTAATTTCAAAGAACAAATGTTGTATTCACCACAAAAAATTTCAAAACCCAAATTTATGATTAAAATAATTTTTGAAATCGTCACATGGCCCTAAGAAGCTTCTATTGTTATAATAATTGACTAGTGGGAAACATCTCAAAGCTTGCTCATCTTCACCAGAAAAGAGGGTGAAGGATGCTTGATGAAAAAGAAACAACTGATTTCAAGCATTTCACAAAATTTCCACAATTTGAGTTGTTTCAGACTAACTTGGTCAAGTAAACTCGAGTTTTCATCAATTTCAAGGATTGAAAATTAAGTGATAAAGCCTAGTGGGAACAAAATTTATGGATCCAGAAAGACGGAAAACTATATAAATAAATTATAAAACCACTTCCATGAAAGGTAAGTTGAGACGGTGCATTATCACCTGCCCATGTTTATCCCAAGAAATGTCTCCAGCCTGTCTCTGAACTGCAACAACTTCAGCCTTGCCATCCGAAAATCCCAAATCTGGCCAGATTCATCATCCTCAGACTCCGAAAACCTGTAAGAATCTGTTAGGCGGAGTCCAAATGTAAGTAAAGCCTTCAGTGCATCTTCCGTTGGTCCTACTCTTTCCAAACACTCAGAAAGTAAGAAAGCTTGGTCCTTGATGGTGGGCAGTAATGTCTTTATCTCATTTACTCCTTGGCCAGAAGACAACCATTTAGATTTCAACACTTCATCTTTGTCTAAATTATGTCGATCAGCAAAGTCAAGAGCTGCCTGATACTTTTGATCAGTAATTAATTTATCATACTTTGCAGGAACAGATATTTCAGAAAATGATACTAAGCTCCATCGCAGTCGGGAAAAATCGAACCGGTTAGATTTATCTATTGTGACCTGTTCAACAGGACTAGCGCCCTTGTGTTCAGATATTTCATTTCTCTCCTCAGATGAAGTATTCTCTAAAAGAAAAAGATGCCCCGGACACTGTCGTGATCTCTCTAAAAGGGGCATTGAATATACAGGATCATTCTCTGGCAATTTGACACGAGTAAGAATTCCAATCATGGTGATGGTGCCATTTCTTTTTGCAACAGTAAGGACGTTATCAGACCACCAAGTAAAATCAACTATATCGTTTATGAATTCTGTGCCACTACTTGACATCTCAATTACAACCTCCGTGTTATAGCTCTTGCCAAAGGATAATTTTGAAAGAGAATGCTTCTCTTCATCATATTTAAACATAAAGAAGTGTCCTCGCATATCCAGAGTAGCAATAAAATTTCCTTGTGGTGAGAGTAGCACCTTTGGAGATGTCAATTGACCAAGATAAGCAGTTGATATGGAATATAAACCTTCAAATTGAGTAAAGGTATCTGGCTCCATACCTAAGTTCCTGTTTCTTCGCCAAAGAGAAACAGAACAAGATCCTGGTGCGAAAAATATTTACAAATATATAAAATGGACAAAATAGCATGTGCTTCCAAGAGAGAAAAAAAATGCATCCCTTTTCTTTTATTTTTTTCCCAGCGTAATGAATGCATAAGTTTCTGATTAATAAAAACATCTTCATTGGTTGCATCATGTGGGTGTATGTAGAGAGAAAGAAATGGACGCTATTTTGAAGACCAGACGCGAACAACATAGCAGTTTAGGGAGATATTTTATTTGACATTGTTTACTTGGTTTAATGTTGTGGCTACTAGGCATATAGATGGGCTGCCCAATTTTTTTGTTCCTTTTTGATTTGTATTGATGATACACTTCCTGTATATTAACTTTGATTAATATAATATTTGATTACCTTTAAAAAAAAAAACATCTTCATTACAAAATTTCAGGTCTCTAAAAATATATTTTCTTAGTTCTCTAAATGACTGACATATTTGAGTTTGGAGCAAACAATTTAAATGCCACCCCAAACCAATTCCTAAAATTAGAATACCGCACAGTATAAGCAACTCCTTTAGGTCACTACTTTGTAAAACTTCACATCACTCACCACTTAAGTGATACAGACCTAAGATTAACTATGCAATTTTTGCGATAACATTTTTTGTGTGGGTATGTGTTTGGTCTTCTTTTCTTTCTTTCTTTTTTTTTTTTTGAGTGTGTGTGGGG